ATCCCTAGGAGAGGATCCATCTGTCCAGTCTAGCTCTGGACGATTAAAATCACCAACGATCAACGTGTTTGACCTACGGAAAGTCATGCTCGGTAAAAGACTGTTTATTACTCTATTGTTATCAGCGGTCCTGTTTGGTGATCTATACACGACGCCCATGTGGAGGCTATCTTTGCTTTTGAGAGAAAGTTCGCACCACACTGATTCTCTAGCTGATTGATGTTCTGCAGATAACTTGACTTGCGAGCCCCATAAGAGGTTCTAACCCACAGAGCTACACCTCTACTACACTGCTCTTCATTTAAGTTGTGCAAACAATCAAGACCTGGCAACTGAAATTCAGCAGGTATAATTTCCCCCCCCCCCGTGATTTTTAGGAAGTGTTTCTGTAATACAAATAATGTCTATGCACTCGTTTCCGATCACAGTTAACAGTTCACCTTTTTTTTCAAAACGGAATCCGAGTTCGTGTAAAAACATTTGATAACTTTTTGTGCACTTTCACTTCGATGCATGCGTTTACTTCTCACGTTATTTACAGGCCTTGATCTACGGACATGACTTCTTACTTGTCTTCCAGCTCCGCTGACTGACCGTGTGCGGCCGGTTTTATCATGACATCGTGAGAGTGGTTGACCTGAGTTTCCGTGCTTTGCCGCCTGACTCTCCTGCCATTTTTTTTTTCGCTAAAATATGCTCTCTCTTAAGGGGTAGCATCCTTCTGTACAAAGACTGAATTAAACTTGGGGAATTCACTTCGTTTTCTTGCAGCTTCAAGCACATGTCCGACCTGGGCAGTAACCAGCACAGTCACCAGCAGCGGTCTCCAGGTGGTAGAGTCTTTCGATCGCAGCCTTTTGCATGCCGTTATATTCACAACGACGTTAAGAGCCTTGGCACAACAATCAGTAATAAACGCAGCGTCCGAAGCATTGCTTTCGGGAACGTTAAACCAAACAAGGTTAAGTCTTCTTATCTCTCTATCCAGAAGTTCACGAGTGCTCTCGCTGGCGAGATCAGTGATGATCTCTTTGCGGCCTTTACCTTCTGTGTTATGGCTATTTTCAGGTTTTGTGCAGATGAGCTTTCATTTCCACCAGCTCGTTTTGTAACGAGTGTAATTCGCAATGCAACAAACTCAACTCTTTCTTGTGGTTCTTCTCAATTTCGGCTCTCTTTCTCAACTCTTGCTTGTTGGTTTCTTCCATTTTGGCCTTAAAGACAGAAAACATAGAAGAGCACTTCTCTTCCACCATCTTCTCGCTTTTTACAGCGTTAAGCGCAGGTTGTTGGCACTCTTAGCAATACCAGTGTACTGTCTTGTTTCTGCGAATAACCGAGCAATCTGTCTTGCTAAACTTTGCAAAATTGTTGCAGATGATTTCCCCGCAGCGATCGCAGGCCACTGTAGCGTCATTGACGTTAAGCGAAACCTGATTTCAAAATTTACAAATTTCCTCTCGCTCATTTTTCGATTTGATCTTCGCATTCGGTTTAACAGGACTGGAGGCCTTTTCAATTAATCTTTTTCCTCTTTGACCAGCATCGTGGAATGCAGGAGCTAAAAAAATAAAAGTTAAAAACTGAATCAAGTTGAGTAAAAATTGTACAAATTTCCAAAGTGCTGTAAAAACTCGGTTACAGACTTGAGAGTAAGCGGCTTTCAAAAAGCGGCGATGGCAGCGGCAGTAAAGGTGTTCGGTGGCGAGGTAGGTAGAGCTTAGACATAGAAACGAAGGTTGTATTGTTCTACGCTGGCAGGCAGTGCAGACGTTTCCCTCGCTTGCAGCCCCAAGCGACCCTCACTGGCTCTAAAGCCCGCGTTATTTAAAGATGAAAACACTTTTACTATAGTCTAGTTCTTTCTATTTGCACTTTCTTTTACTGACTTCACTGAAAATTCTGTCATTCACCGACACGGATCATAAAAAATACAAAAAGAGTTCCGAAAACGGCACAGTAAAAGTGTAAAATCTAAGACCACAAAACACGTGCGTCCGTTCTCAACCACGGTTGAAACTTGAACTTAATGCATTCGAGATTACGGTAGAGCGAGCATGAAGTTCTACAAAACATTTTTTCAGTGGTCTGCATTACCATTTTTCCGCCATTTATTTACAGTGAAAGTGAAGATATATTCATCACATGAGAAACGCGGATGAATTCAAAATCTCTAAGAGGCTGAGGTACCGTCGCCAGGCCGTGTCCAGTTCTTTGAGGTTTATCCACTATTTCTTTAAACTATAACTCCCGTTCTAAATAAGATACAAGTCTCAAATTTGGAATGATATTCCAGCTATTTTTCTTAATTTCACGTACGTTAGGATAAATTTAGCAAATTTTGTCTCTCAACTGTTATTAGGGAGGATAAAATTTTCACCCCGTTGTTCGTGAAGTGCGTAATTTTTCTACTATTTTCTTGATGTACATAGGTTTAACTATTTATTCTTCATTGATCCGGTATACCATGCACTTGAGAATCATAACTCGTGCGGTAGAAATGTCATTTTTCCAAAAATTTCAGTGAAACTTCCATAGATTAGCGTATGCTTTCTGCTGCTAGTATCCTACATTAGAAAGGTCGAGGCTTCCCCAATGGCTTACGAGGGAATTGCTAAAGCTCATTGATTACTCGCCCGTGGCTGCCAATTAAGTGCCCCTTCTGCCCCTCCCCTTCCTCCCTGGACTGTAAGCGGTCATTGGTCGGCCAGAGGGCCAGAGCATGCAGGCCCCAGACGCTCGCTGGCTATTCATCGGCCACCTGAAAGCCGCCCATGTCTCAAAAAAAATATCCTTGAGCCACGGTGCGGGTAACCACATATATGAAGTTAATTAAAGTGATTACGGGACCAAGGCTTGGTGACGACTGAACAAAGGCGCGAGTTTAGATATTACAGCTATCTGCTGGTCTCAGGGAACTCGTATTTCGCACGGCGATACCTCAGACTCTTAACTGCTCCTGGTTACGGTATCATTAGAGGTGAACAAAGCACGCAGAAAGAAGGTTGTAGAGCTCCCTACATTTACAATTCTCGTTCTGTTACGATTTTAAGATGTTCGCCAAAGTCAATTTAAAGGCACATTTGTCGCCAATTGGTAGCCTACAGTTTTCAGCCGCTAACTAGCGCCTATTTCGAGAGTCTCTTGTAACATGACATGGGCCGAGCTAACATGGTTGCAGGGCGGCGTTCGGGCGTGTTCGAATCAGGATTTCCAAATCGAAAAAAATTGGATTGGTTGATCATGTGATCGTTCAACACAATATATTAATTCACTATATAAAAAATTCAACACAATATGTTTCCAATCTCACAGGTTAAAAATTAAAAATGTCAAAAAAAAAAGAGAAGTGTTCATATTAGGTGTCAAAAACGGAAACGAGCTATGATAAGTATGAGAAAATGCTGCGGAGAATCCAGTTGAACGGGAAAACATCACAACCATCATAATGTATTTATGGGCATCTTTAAGAGAATGATACTGAGTTTTAATGAACGAAAAACATTATCCATTGTTTTAAAAAATGCAATTAAACGACAATTTCGCAATCTTTGCATTTGATAAGCAACATCCTTGTGCGACCTAATACACTGTATTATGAACAGTGGAAAAACAAACTACATTCATGTCTTTCGCGGTCAATATTAAATCTAAAGTTAGGAACATTTTGCAGGATTTCGTACAACTAATAACCTTGAAAATAGTGTTGAGATTTGCAGTTAGGACTCCGATGCCGCAGAGTGTTGAGAAGGCGCCGATGGTGAGGGTGATGATAATTGGTTTGTAGATGTGGGCCTTTTTAAGGTCAGCCAGCTTTAATTTGGCCTTTTTGGCCTCCTTTTGGGACTCTTGTATGGCCCTAATTTCTTGATCGATGCAATAATCAGCACCTAAGGCAGTGAAATTTTGTAAAAATTTTCTTTTATTCTGTGAGAAATATTCATCCAATTACAATCTCTTTCCTGTTTTCTGACGAATAACACCAACAGAGTTTGTTACTGTTCGTTTCAGGGATCACGTTTTGATTAAAGTGAAATTCCTATTGTTGTGTAACGTTCAGTTGAACTCTACTGGGCAGATTCTTTTGCATATTTTAGCACTTCATTTGATCGCAAAATCCACTAAATGATAGCAATTGATTTGGAGAGTGGGATATCATTGTCTAACAGGTGCTCAGTGCCCTATAGTGAATGGATCAGCCGCCAGAAAATAATTACAACTAGTGAAATTGTAATTCTTTACATGAATGTTCATGTTTGTTATACGGGATTGTCACTACTTAGGTTTCTTCTTTACTCGTGCTTCTTTACTCGTCTCTATAACTACCCGATACGATCAACCGGCTGACGGAGGCGGGCTAAGAGACAACTTTGTTTCTGTCTTTGAACAAATGCCTACTTTTTTATTTTTACAACACTTCTCTTTAACTTCACTTCTTGTCGTTTGTTTGTCTGTCTGTCTGTCTGCTACCTGTCCAAGCGATCTGAAATTTTGCACACTTGCGTAAAGTTGGAGACAATGCATGAATCAATTGAGAGAATAAATAATTTTATAAATTAAAAATTTTTTTTCGTTATTAAAAAAATGTAAAAATAATTTCGGCTGCTACAAATCTTGTAATCCATATATGACACACTTTGACCTGTCCAATCGATCTGAATTTTTGCACAATTGCACAAAGTCAGAGACAATGCTTAAATCAGTTGACAGAATAAATAATTTTGATAATTTACAAAATTTTGACATCTTAAAAAAATTGTGAAAAATAATTTTTTTTAATATTTGAAAATAAAATTAGAAATTCATTTTACATGTGTAACATCCAAGATACTGGATTGTTCAGAAGTATTGTCTTTAAAAAGTAATTTTTAAACGCATCTTATTTAAATTACCTTGACTTTGAAGTTCCTAAGTTTAATGACGGAAGTGGGGAGAGATTTTGCTCAATAACTCATCCTCTCAGAAGAAATGAATTTTATCTCTCATGTGCTTTATATCGCTTATGAACTATGGACTTGACAAAAAAGTAACAAATTTACAACAGGACCTCTGAAATGCTGCAGAGCCGCTCTAGCTTCAGTCTCTCTGCCCTTCAAGAGAAGGTAAGCCGGCGACTCCTTGCAGCAGTAGATGAGTACGGCGTACAGCAGAGTCGGGCAGGTGCAGATCAGCGCCAAACGCTGCCACGTCGTGAACGCCCCCACCAAAATGCTCAGCAAGATACCCATGGCCAGGGCGAGTTCGTAGAAACTTCCTGAGCATCGAACAAGGTGGCTGGTTGGGTGGTTGAGTTCGCAAAGACGGGAGCAGAGAGTTGTGCGTTCGAGTCTCAAATAAATTGTGAAAATTCTGGTCAATAACAGTCGGCGTTGTGATCTGGTGGTCATGAACAGTAAGATTGTAGCATCAAGTTTCGAGTTAGAGAGAGTTTTGGGTTCGATCAAAGAGTGGTGGATTCGAGCCTTACTGTGAAAATAAAAAATTCTGGTCGATTGGGACGGGGTGATCAGAATTCTAATAAATGTAGGATTGTATCAGTGAGTTGTAGGTTAGAACCTCTGCTAAACTTGCGACCCGATTTTTCTAAGCTGTGTTATAGCAGCATGTCATAGTTTTTCACGCCATCCCAACAATATGTTTCGCTTTTTATTTTCTTTACCCAGAGAAATAAGTGAACCTTTGTCCGAACAGTGATGTATTTTTTACCCTTGCTCAGGTCATCCCTAGCCAGTTAGGCCCGGCTAATGGATTTATCAGTGTTATATATCCGCTCTCAGCTCTTGCTGTGGTAAGATAGCGCATCACCCTTTGTCCACAAGACCCCTTATTTTTCGGAGCAAGCAGACACGACAGAAGTTAACAGGGTGGAATTATATTATACTTTGACAAAAGGAGATTCTATAACTTACCTGATTTAAATACATTCTTATTATGGGTCTAATCCTGATTTAAATGCCAAAGGAAAGCACTAAATCAATTTTCACGTAGTACAATCAAGGTGTAACGCGTATAAGTTTCTAACATACTGTAATTTGCCAGAGGGTGTTGTCAGAGAAAATTCGTTGCATCCATTTAGTTTCCCGTTGGGAAAAACATATTGCATTCACATTCATTTATTTGCGTATATATACAACGTCCACACTACATTGACAATAAAAACATGAACAAACTTCATCGTATTTTATCAACTTAAAAAATTCCTAAATAACAGTCCAATAAAATGCCTAATAGTTGTGAAAATCCATTCAGATTTAACAGCTAAACCAAAATACTAAATTCCAAGGTGCATACCGACGTTTCTGAACCCTTATCAAAGAATACTACACTGCAGAAATATACAAAAACATTATTAATTAAAAAAGTTCCACCTACCAAGCCTTCCTCTGATGTCTCTGGAAGCAATTTCACCAATGTAGGCGCAGCCAGCCGCTGAGCTCAAGCCGATAAACAATCCTGTCATTCCCCTGCCCAGCGCCAGCATGGGTACGTTGGTCCCTAGACCTGGAAAATAAGACAATATCAGCGGCGAAATTTAGAAGTTGGTTCCAATAAGCTGGAGGAGCTAGTAGTGGTTAGTCTTTGAGTTAATTAGTGAAATCATAAATCAGTTTGTATTTTATAATTACAAGAGTTTCAAGCAGAAATAAAAAATAGTATTTTTAAATATTTTAAGTGAAATTTATAGTGACCTGTCAAGAGCCAGCCCACCAGGGACGGCACTGCGGAAGCCAGCAACGCCCCTCTCCGTCCCGCGGCGTCCATGAGGGTGCCGCCCCCCAGTCCCCCTACCAGCGCCCCCATGGCGTATGCTGACATGAACCACGACAGCTCCTCGCTGTCCATCACCACGACAGCCCGTGCTAGCGCTTGCTGGTTGTCCATCACCATGGGGGACCGTGCTGATGTTGGCTGGCTGTCCATCACCATGGGTGACCGTGCTGATGTTGGCTGGCTGTCCATCACCATGAGGGACCATGCTAACTTTTGCGTAATGATGTCAACATCAGGAATGATTGTTGTTACGTTGCTATCAGTGTCGTTACAAGTCGTAAAGTAATGGTAAGTGCTGGTGTCATCATGGTTGCCACTGCCGGATGTGTCGATGGTGTCCGCGGTAAGATTTAATGTCGAGTTTTGAAGACTAAACGTTGTTCGATTATCAGTAAACTTGGCGAATTCCTGGGCAGCTCGTAGCTGAAAAGAAGCAGGAGCGTTGAAACCAATCACAGCGCCAAACGCAATCGCACTCACCGACACTGCGAGCGAACAGAAAATATATGTTACCGATAGTGATCAATCCCTTCACAACTTCTTTAATTATATTTTATAACTCTCCAATGATGCCGACTTAATTAAAAAGATTGACCCTACATCCTAACTAAATTTGGATGCTAATCCGACTCTGCAATAGGTGCCGCCGAAGCTGGAGACAGCACAAAAATCAGCTGCTCAATATTTACTGGCTGGGCAGAAGCACAATAAGAACAACAGTTAATTAAGCAACTTGAAATCTCGGTATGACTCTGCTCGGCCAGCCCTACTCATACTCTCGGGCGACCATAAAGTCGGAAATGACATTTTGACCAGAAGCTGATTTCGATCGGGTGGCCAAGCAGACCCAGAATAACTCAAGTTGAGTGAAGCGATTCCTAAGCAGCTGCCTATAGGCGCCACCTGATTTATGTTAGGGTAGTTACGAAATTGATATTGTTAGGGTTGGTTACAAAATTCAAGTCAAATCAAAATGAAACTAGTCAACACACTCGATTCAATGACGGCCATCTAAGTGAGGCTGGCGATGCAGCCAACACATTTTCATGGAAGCCGAGTTTTTCATTACGAAAGAAGTGTCTTCAGAATTGAATTATACATTTAATAGAATTATAGTTGAAATTTTTTGGTAAATATTCACCGAAGACATACAGATTCACGCACCTAATGCTTAATTACGTCATGTCTTTTTGAGACTTGACTTCAGCATAGCCAACGTGGGAGGGTTTGAATTCATATTTAGAATTTTCCAGTGAACGTTTTTGTACATGAGTAGTTGAACATATATATCATTTTTATGAGCAGTCAGGAACAATGTTATCGATAAAAAGCGGAAAAACTGATTTTAATAACTTATACGCAGGAAACGAATTAGAATATGAATGGAGAGTCGAATGGTGAGTTGAAATACGGCGAGTCGCGGTTGAGCTGTCATTAGGCGGATGTGCGTGTTGCGCGGGCTCAAAACTAGCCTTTGCACTATGCCGGCTTAGCTCTGTTCGTGCATTTTGGGCTGAAGTCTTTCAGTAAAAAGACTTTAATGAAGTCAGTGATAGAAAATGTGAATAAAGGGTGGAAGTGAATATAAAGTGTTTCCCTGTTTTTTTCCTGAGAAGAAACGCGGGTAAGCTTGTGAGAGGGCAATGCTGTACGGTTGGCTTTCGGTTGGGCCTGAATTTCTTGAGCAGGCTCTGTCAATTTTATTCTGCCCCGCCGTCCACCTTTACCATATCCCTTCTCCTCGCTACCCGCCTGTCACGTCGGGCCCTTAATTTCCCTAACCCACACCTGTCTTTCCCTCGCCAGCTACAGCTGTTACCTCAGCTGTCCCGACAGTGTCGAAATTTTCGAGGGAACTTTACTATATTCCGTCCTTTTCTCCGTTCAAGAGCTGAACTCCGTGCATTGTATAATGGCTGGACAGAAAATAAAAAAAAATAATCGAGAAGCCCTATACGGCCTCTGGGAAAAAAAAAACTGAAACCAAATCAACCCAGCTAGAGATGGAAGTTTGCAAGTACTGCAAAGAGATCTCTCTGAGCGACGTTCAGACGATCACCTGTGAACGTTGCGAAGATTTCATTTGTATTAGCTGTTCGAAATTGATCTCTTAGGAGTATTCATTTCTCCAGAAAACTAAATTACTTCTGCCCTGACTGTGAAAAACCAACTCTTGGTGCTCGAAAAAGCGAGAAGTCGGTGGAACTGGAAGAGCACGGCAATGAGTCAAAATCGTTGAATGATGTAGTAAACTCCTTAAGTGAGATGGTGCGCTCGCTGAGTGAAAAATTGAGCTCGCTATGCAATGAGCTGACTGATGTGAAAGCTCAGCTGAAAAATACAGAAAAAATGGAAGTAAAGAACAAGACAGCTGATTACTCTGAAGTCGCTAGCGAAAGCTCCCGTGAATTACTTGACAGAGAAGTTAGGACGTCCAACCTTGTGTGGTTTGGTATTCCCGAAAGTACCGCATCTGATACGAAGGCTGACACTGCAGGCTGCATTTGTTGCAGACAGTTGCAGAAAGGCACACAGCACACTGGTTGATATTACATCGTGCAAGAGGCTAGGCTCGAAGGATTCTGCTGCCAACACCTGTAGTTCTCTGTTTGCGACTGTAAAGGAGCTTGCTCAGGTTTGGAGTGCTGAATGCAACGAGAGAGCTTGGGGAATCTGCTGAGCACAAGTCCATTTCTGTAAAGAAAGAGTCCACCCCTTTAGCGAGGGCAGATTTTCACAAGAAATGACAGGAGAGAATCAGGCGGAAAGGCATGAAAAATTAGGTCAATCACTTCCAAGCTGTCAAGACAACACCGGCCGCTCACGGTAAGTCAGAGGAGCTGGAGAACAAGTAACTAATAGGAATGATGTTCGAAGATCAAGGCCTTTAAATAATGTAGGAAATAACCGCACACGTCGAAGTGAAAGTTCCCAAAACGTTTAAAAATGTTTTTATACGAACTCAGATTCTGTTTTGAACAAAAATGTGAACTGATAACTGTGATCGCAAACGAGTGTATAACATTATATGTATTACAGAAACACTCCCTAAAAATCACAGGGGAAATTGTAACTGTTGAATTTCAGTTGCCTGGTTTTGATTATTTCCATAACATAAATGGAGATCAATGCAGTAGAGGTGTTGCTCTGTGGGTTAGAACCTTTTATGGGGCCCAGCAAGTTAAGTTATCTGCAGAGCATCAATCAACCTTGAATGAAGGAACTTAGCCGACCGATTAGAAAGAAGCTCAAGTAACAACATTGTTCAAGAAAGGTGGCAAAAGAAGCCCCGCGGTAACTAATGCCCTGTGAGCTTGACAAGTGTTGTTTGTAAGGTAATGGAATGTGTTATGAGAGATAGGATTATCGATCACTTGACTGTTCACCATCTTTTATCAGACTGTCAACGCATGGCTTTATTGCCAGTATATCCTGCACCACTAACCTTTGCCTACGCAGAACGATTCGACTCGCCTGTTGGACGAAAGGGAGCCAATGGATACAGTGTACCTCGATTTTGCCAAAGCATTTGATAGTATCCCGCATGAACGACTGTTACGTAAAGTGAAGTCTTTGGGAGTAGGGGAAAACGTACTACAATTTATCAGAGATTGTAAAGTACTTAGACGACAACGTGTCCGTATTAGAGGAACCGTTTCAGTCTGCGCATCAGTAAGTGCACAGTGCATGGCGTGCCACAAGAAAGCGTTCTTGGTCTTATTTTGTTCGTTGGTTTTATAAACGATCTGCCAGAAGTAGTGTCAAACGTGTGCTCCATGTATGCCGACGACACAAAAGTTTAGTTGAAAGATTTGTTTACTGGGCTGACACGTGGCAGCTGCGTTTTAATGCTGACAAGTATAAAGTTTTTCACCTCGGGAAGAAGAATGAGTGAACAGTAAGATTAAAGTATGAGAAGACATGGCTGCAACGAGAGAGTAATGATTTAAAAGTCTAGTGTGAAAAAGATTTCGGATTTTATGTCGACAAGGAGCTGAAATTTTCAAAGGTTGTTGAAACGCAAGCTAATAAATCCAACAAACTTCTTGGACTAATCAGAGGCTCATATAAGTTCCTAGATCCTTGGACTAATCAGAGGCTCATATAAGTTCCTAGCGGTCAAGCAGTTGTTTGTTTCTGTCGTGCGCTCGAACCTAGAGTTTGGAAACGCCGTGTGGTCACCGAGATTTGAAAAGTACAGAAATTTAATAGAGAATGTCCAAAGACGTGCAACAAGGATAATTCCAGGCTTGGAGGGTAAGTCCTGTAAAGAAAGGTTGAAGAGAATGAAGCTTCCAAGCCTCTAGCTGTTTTCGACGTCTGCGCGATGACCTCTTTGAAGTATACAAGTATACTCATGGTCTATACAAGGTCCCAAAGGAATTACTAGAATTTGAAACGAGAACCAACACCAGGGGCCACGGCTATAAGCTAAAAAAACTGCGCTGCAACTTCTCCTCGCGACAACATTTCTTCTCGCTTCGAATCACCGACATGTGGAACAGCCTCCCCGATGACGTCGTTGGCGCTCCAAGTATGAACGCGTTCAAGAACAGACTAGATAAAGCTATGGAAAAATAAATGTTCAGATTTTAAATGCCTAGCACCATATCGAACCCAGTTGAAGTCTAGTAGATATTTCAAACTATCGTCAGTCTTGAAAAGATCCGGTCAAAGTACTTTTAACTTTCAGATTTTTTGTGAACAAGTCACGTAAAGTACAAGAATTGGCGACAGGCCCCATCAGGCCTACTGTTCAGCGCTGACATTACTACGTTACGTTATGCTAATTAATAGGAAGTATTGGGTTATTGAAATATTTATACATCATGCTTAATTTTAATTAAGATTTCATTCAGGATTGTGAATGAAAATCCATAGAAGAAAAGACTAAAGAAAATCACAATTCTATCTAAAATATAATTATCGTCAAGTAACCAAATTTTTAATTTATTACCGGATAGAGCAGTTAGGTACTGCGTCAACTGCGCTGGTCTAACTTGTTGCATTTCGCTGTCAGCCATACTGCGGAGACGACGCTCAAAGCCCCTTAAAGTTGAAAAGCACACACTTGGCGGGACTTAATTCTCACTCTTCTACAACTTCGGCAGCACATGCAATTTACAAGACTGAATTCTCACAAAACTTTTAGAAGTTCGGCAGCACATGCAATTCACATGACTGGATTCTCTCAAAACTCATTAAAGATCAAAAAACACACAATTCATCAGACTGTATTCGCTCAAAACTTCTCAGAGCTTACAGCACACACAATTTTTTCGTGATATAAATTCATTTTCTACATAAAGATCGGAACTTTTTTATGATCCCAAACTTTTATAACGATTCATGTAATTGGAAGATTCTCATTTATATTGTACGCTTCTCTGATGAAATAGTCGCTTAACTGAGATATTATTTTAGTAGTCAAGTTAATTTCGGGTTTAGTTTATTTTACCGGCGATTGTCTTGATATCAGTAGCTGAAACATAACAATAAATCATAGGAGCGCTGATTTGTACATGAATTTTACATGACAATGTCTTCGTGATAAAGCTCCGTGAATCCAACCTCGAAGCCTACTTACTAAATTATTTCTTTTTATGCTACGATATTCATTATACAGGGTGTTTCAGAATTAAGTAACCCTTTTAATTTGTTAATAAAAAATAAACTAAGAACGTTATGAAGTTGAAACTTGTTTTATTTAAAAGAAGAACATTTTTATGGTAATATTGTATCCTAGTTTTTAAATATAATATCTTTATTTTAAATAAAACAAGTTTCAACTTCATAACGTTCTTAGTTTTTTATTTATTAACAAATTAAAAGGGTTACTTAATTCTGAAACACCCTGTATTATTGCAAAATTCTACTCGTATGAGGTGAGTTATATATTTTCTGATTTACCATCAATTAATTTCAATGCAACTCTTGTCACTCGCATATAAAGCCGACAATGAACACCGTACGTGTTGGACGTGCTTTGCAGTAAAGCTTCAACCCAAACACCAAAACAAACGTGGCCACGCATCACTGATACTTTGGGGATCTAAAGCAATTCATTCAGCTCACCATTACCAGACTTACCTAAGGTACTTAAGGGCATTTATTTATGTCCTATATACAGGAAAACAATGGTTATATTTATATACACGAAAAATACATACGAAAGCGTTTTCTTGACGACGATGAAGACGAATCGAAAGCGCTTGTTTGTGTGTGTCTGCCGACTAACTCTCGCTAAAAAGGCTTCCAGGTACGAATAACATTGAAAACGATTAATGCATCCGTACACTAATGGTTAAAGCTGAATGGTTCCAATAGTATTGTCCACGTTCTTCCTGAATTTTGCCGCGGTCTCTCTAAGGACCGACACCATCGTTTTTTTTTCAATAATTACAATGAGTGAAATGAATGACTCACTAAATCTTTGAATGACTTGCTAAATGCCTGATTAACGTATTCACCGCGAACGTTGGACGTGAAATTTCAACCTTTGGGTGCGTCTTTTTGGTCACGAAGAGCTTTGCTCTGAGTGTATAATATTTAGGTACTATAACTATCATTCATTATAACCATCATTGCAACAACAATCACCATGAGCGCTCAGAGAAATAAGTTAGACATTGTCCAAATAGCGACGCACTCTTCCCCTTTGCATGGGTCATCCTGATGAACAGCGATCGTCCAGCGCATTAGTACTTTGTCTGCTCACTGCTCACGCCGTGGGTGAGGAAGTGTGTCATTATTTGAACAATATGACACTTCAATTTTTCTGAGTAAGCAGATAGCCGCCGCCAGAACTGCTATGCACGCAAAACGGATGCGGTAAAAATGGGGAGGTTTTGCTGTTGTTATGAATTTCTAAAAATCTTTAGCATTAAAATCTATTTCGGTATATGTGTATGCAGAACTGTAATTTTAGTTTGATTAATTTAACTATTAGTTTTATTATACAGGCATATTCATTTCTTGCTCAATTTTTCTGACGATATAACACTTGTAATTGAAAAATGTCTCGACATCATAGATTTTCAAAACATCAAACTGATGTGTGTTTCATTTGCATTTTGACATATATTTTTTTTCTCCTGGAAATATAGTTTCCCGGAAACTATTTCCTTCGTTTAAAATTATGCGCGATTCATGATATAAAGACACTATGGCATTCTGTAGAAAAATGTAAGTAGAGCAATTCAGCCGGGTAACGAAATCACTCAAATTGTAATACTGTCATAAATAAAATTGAATCACAATAAGACTTACGATATCTGCGTATTTTAAAAAATGTTTTAATAAAAATAATGTCTATGAGAAGTTCAAGTGGTTGATTTAATTATTTATTTATCATGAAAATTTATACGCTCAGATTTTTGAATACTTGTTTCCCATTCAACCCGCTGTCCCATTCAACCCGCTTTTATACCTCTTCTGTTTATGGACGTTGGTGATGAACCGATCCAGAAAATTACGATTTTTGACTGAACCAGTAATTCCTGCAACCCGAGCAGTAGAGCACAGCACAGAACACCGCCTGACCGCATCACCGCAGCCCACAGCACCACATTACATCACCACAGCACATCGCAGCACCACATCACAGCACCACAGCACATCGCTGCACCACATCACAGCACCACAGCACACCACAACCTGCGCTGAAGCTCTAGCAGCAACTGAGGATGAAGAACTGGCATTGTGCGAGGCTGCTTTACCCTGAGCTTTATTGAAGACGAATAAATTTCTATCATCTCTTTCTCAGTCTTTGATTTCCCTTGATTTAGTATCCCATTTCCCTTCATATTATCGAGAATATTTGGCCAAAATTTTTGCAGAAAATTTGAACAAATATTGGTCCGAATTCCGGGACGAAATTTGGGAAAATTTTTTGAAAGTTTTGAGCTGAAATTTTGTAATGGCGTATGAAGCCAAAATTCTGAAACCTGATGGGATTTAAAAAAGACTGCGTTAAGAACTAAAAATTTTTTTTTGTTTTTAGAACAGAAAAGGTACAGATCCGCTGCGTTCAACTTGCGCCACAAGTTGAGTGTTCAGCCACAAGTGTTCGCTGCACATGCCGTTGGCCAGACGGAGTTCCCTGTTCTGATTTTATTTGTTCCTTCGTCGTGGCGATATTTGCATAATAATTCATTAGTGCTCTGTTGTTTCCATAATTTTCTGGTTTTTTAATAATTATTTCATTGTAATATTATCATGGCAGACTAGCCTTCAGAGGTAAAATAATTGTCAACAATAAGGAAGCAGTTCATTGGAAATAACGGTTTCAGCTTTGATTTCCATGACGAATTCCTATCTTTAATTTTTACTCTCTTAATTTTGCACTTATTTTCAGGAACTCCTGGGACCTGACGAGAGAACAGTTCGGGTGATGGAACAGTGCTGGTGGTGGAACAGTTCCGGTGATGGAACAGTTCTGGTGATGGAACAGTTCTGGTGATGGAACAGTTCTGGTGATGGAACAGTTCCGGTGATGGAAACAGTTCTGGTGATGGAACAGTTCTGGTGATGGAACGGTGATGGTGATGCAACAGTTCTGGTGATGGAACGGATGGAATGAAAGATGCTTGCCGACGAGCTTTAAGTGTCAAAAGAAACAGGAGCAAAATATATTGATGGAGGCAGGGAAGTGCGCGTAAAATCACACACTGGGTCATAATTTTTAAGCAGTGGAACAAAATTCAGGACCTCATTGTGATATTTATGAGGAAAAACTTCGCTGGTTGACAAGACCAGAACTTGATAATTTACGAGTATAGGGATTTACAGGAACTCGATCGTCCCGTGTTGATCGAGATTATGATCACCCGGGACATTCAACATGTAAGGTGATTTTAATGTGTTAAAAAATATTAAGAAAATAATTTCAGGGTATTCCTAATGGGACGTTCAATTGAACGTGATTGCACAACACAATCAAGCCTGGCACCTCGGTCAGGTCGAGCGTACGAACGTCCTGACCTCCGCGGCAGACGCTTGTCTCACCTCGCGCTCTGATGGCTGCAGCCGTTGAGCGCAAACTGGTGCCCAATTGTGGCAGACAAACATCCGACTTGCGCTCATAATAACATCAGTGAAATGGAAAATATTACCAACAATGGGATCTTTCTGTCATATATTGGATGCTTTATGGCCATGTTAGACTTATTTGGTGAGCAGAAGTCATTTACCTGGCAAGCATTTTCTTGATTTGTTCAAATGATTGAAGATTTAGAGAAACTTGTTATCACTTTCTTCATTGAATAACTGACAGTCCAAGCTTTCTATAACTACGTAAATTTTTTCCCACGGAAGTACTTTCAACCTATGATGTAATTCTGGCACTATAACAAATATGTTCAATTATTATTTCTCTAGTTTGTCCAAAATAAATAATTTAATGGTCCATTAAATGCATTTAGATGCTTCAGCAAGCTAAATATGCCAGGCCGCAATAACTTTGTCATTGTACTCTCCTCAAATACTACATGGAGTTAATTTATAATTAATTACTATAATTAGGGACTAAAAGGACACTGAAAGCTTGGGAATTGAGAATTTAATTCAAAGGAGCGAAAATATCATAATTAAACCTATACAACTTCTTCGAGAATCGCAGTTATTCGACTTATAATTACTAGCTATGGAAATGTTGTTATTAAAAACTGTATAAATTTGAATAATTCGCTCCAAAGTGGGTACAATTAAAAAGTTATATACCTAGATGCCAAATAAAACACCATCATCAATACGATAATCCTATGAATTGCGGTAAATTTCAAATCATGGCACGAGAAAATAAAAGGAAACCGTAACTCATTAGAGCGCTTCTGATAGTGTATATGCAAAATAGGATTCAGAATCAGCCAAATTAGATTATATGCCTTGCCGGCATTTCATCCAAGAAAATTATTCTGTAATTGTTTGTAATATCAATCGCAACTGATCCTAAAGATAATTCCAGTGGATATTGTTTCTCGAGTCTGGCGGTGTGCAGGGCTTGATGCTGCCGCTCCTGTCGTGAACGTTGATACCAATAAAGTTGGGTGCTTCCGTCACGTCTGAACTTTGGGTGCTTGTCGTTGTAATTCTTTCAATAGGTTCTCAACGTCAGCCACATTTACATAGGAGTACAGATAACGCTCTCTCAATTCCATTTTATTAAAGTAAAAAAAACATTCAATTTGCATTCATGTTCATGGATCAGAATGATGCTCTGAAGAGGAAGTTTTCAGAGGAGAACGGGAGCTTAGCGTCAACAAACAAAGACATGAAATGCCAAAAGTTCATGATAAACTCCAGCCCACATTCCTACTCACTAACACATGATTCCAGTCACAAAAGAATGCTAAAACTACAACGCATTGGTAACATAAAGTTTCATCTTTCTATAGTTTTTCTTATGAATAGACTGACACACTTAACCATGCGCTGTACATGATCCAACCGTACAGGATTTAGAGAGGAATGTCTTAAACGCATGGTTGTCGACATCGCTTATTTTTATTTAATTTTGAGAAAATAAATTGCATCTAAAGGTAGATAATAAAACAGGGATCCCAAATTTAATTTTACGGGTGAAAATTACTAGTATCTTCACATAGACTGCCGTAGCTGAAACCAAAACTACTATCAAACGTGCAATCAAAATCCTAGTCCCTCTCCACATTTATCTGAAGCAGCAATATAATCAGTCATTCATGCCGATATCAAAACATTCCTAACCATTTAACTTCAACAGGTATCACAAATTTCTACAGTTTATTCATTAGATTTCGTCACTCTCAAGTGACATGTTGGTCTGCGACTGCCCCGTGGTAAGCTTGAAGAGCTTATATAGACTTACTACGATGACGTCACGGAAGGTACATCATATCATGCTATATATTCTCTTAAATCTGCTCATGCTAATTCTTCTCTTTCATCAGATAATGCTAAATTTTTTCATATATTTTCTTTTTCAAAAATTCGAAATTACAATTATTTAATGTGAATAATGGATTGCACACTAAGAAAAACGTAGGACTATCTTTCAAAAGCAGGACTATGGAGGATCATAATAAAATCTTCTATCATAACAAAGATTTTTACCAAAGACATTTTTATTATGGAGACATAGGAGACCTTGTTTATTTGAATGAATATCCTGACGCAGGGCGTGTTGAGGGCCCTCTCATAGTCAACTTTCTGATAGCTGACTCGAAGTTAATTTGGCTCGAATAATCCACGAAAAAACGGCTGCAGTCTGGCACGACCTTGGTTGATGTGTCTGGCCATTATCGCCTGGTGGATAAAAAAAATTATTGTGAGGCTGGAAGGAAATTTTACATAATTTTTCGGGGAAGAATGTCCTAAAGGATATATTTACGTTATTCTGCGCAAGTTATGCGGAAGTCTGCCGTATGGTTGGAGGAGCTGTGGATCGAAAAGGCTTGATCCTTTCTCCAAATAAGTGTTCATGACAAATCACTAGTCTCACATTCGGCATCCTAAAGGCCACCGCCAAAAAATATTCACGACTTATGCTAAGTGCTTGTATAGTTGCTATTGACATTGTGCGCCTTATGCTTCATTATCTTATTACCTCAACCCTCCAGTGGTGGAGTGTAGTAATATGAAGAAATTCAAATTTCCGAGGCTAGCGAAAGAAAATATGACGAATCTAACAAAAAATTACTCGCGATCATTTTCTGAATTTTGACTACTGAGGAGCAATTCGAAATGACAAAAATTTGTAAAAAATGTTCATTTGGCTGAAAATAATTGGCATTTTGTAAAATTATAAACAAAGTGAAAATGTAATCTATCTGACTTGAACAAATTCCAAAATCAACAAGTTATTTATAGCAATTTATGAGCTATTTAAAAATTGTTTAAAAAGGACACAACTGTCATTCAATTCGTGAGACTGGCAAGCAGGGATGATATCCATGACATTTTAAGAATTATCAAACAATAATTAACGATCATCACGTGTTGTTTAATAAACGAGCTTGAATAGATGACGCGTGTGAAAAGACTAAGTGCATTCCTGCGATCATTAAGCATATAAGCTCCATATATTAAGCTTTTCCTGTTCCATTATACCACGTAAAACCTTACAAAATTCGAATTTTAAAATATTAATTATCTCGAAAGTTGCCCTATTGCACTCACCTCGCAATTTTTGCTGGCAGCATCCAACTCCGCTTTGAATACGGGTAGCTTGGTAATTTCTCCTGGCGTCAATTTTTGATGGCTGAGAATTTCCAGGAACTTGCGTCTCTTGTTTTCATCCATATTGGTGACTGACAACTCGTCCCAGGACTCGAGGTCTTGTTCTATAGTCCTCTTCTGGGCCTGCAGTGAATCCTTCAATCTCCCTATATCAGTATTTAGGTTCATGATTCGATCGACCCATGTCAATAAGTCGTTAACTGGCCCCAGTTTCTGGCAAATCTTAGTCCGTACCGCGGCTCGGGCGTCTTCAGCTTCATCTCCCCGAAGCAGGTCGTCAACCAACTCGATTGAGTGTTTAGCGTGTACCAATTTGAAGCACCTGAAGCACACGAGTTCCATGCAATCAACGCAGACGTAATCCTGTGCCTTTTGGTGCAGGGGGCACGGCGCCCCAGGCTGGGAGCTCGGGGCCCGTTTAGGTTTATCCTCAGAGGGGATCAAAGCGTAATTAACTAACATGTCGCCGAGAGATTGCTTTATTTTCTTCTTGCATTTAGGGCAGCTTGACAAATATGGTAAGTCTGAAATGCATGAGAAGCAAAACGTGTGACCGCAAGCCACGCACAGCGGTTTATGGTTGTCCGAGTCGTATTCTTCGTAACATACTTCACACTCCAACTTGACGGAAGCCACGTCGCGGTGTTCCAATTTTCGTTTGTTATCCATTCAACCTAAGTCAACTCTACGCTTCTAGCACTTAAAGCACTCTAGTTGGAGTTGGTGAACAATCTGGTGGAAAAGTTTGAGTATAAGCAAGATAAACCATGCCGAAAGCATAACATGTTCAGTCCCTCTTAGCACAGGTCAATAATGACTTCTACAACGTTGCAAATTAACTACTACAACATTGCTAAGTAACTACTACTACTAATAAAACGATGCAAATAAACTACTACTACTACAACGTTGCATATACTACTACTACTACGACAATGCTAAGTAACTCCTACTACTAATAAAACGTTGCAAATAAACTACTACAACTTGGCTAACTAACTACTACTACTACAACTTGGCTAAATAACTACTACTACTACTACAACGTTGCCAAGTAACTACTACTACGTTGCTAAGTAACTACTACTACTACAACAATGCTAAGTAACTACTANGCTACAACGTTGCATTAGCTGCATGACTACTACAACGTTGCATTAGCTACATCACAACCAGGCACCAGGCTTACAACACACAATAGCCCTGTATATTGCAACATATTGTAATTTGCTGTACCGTAAATTACAATTTTGTAAATAAATATTGAATTTTGAACTGATATGGAGCTTTTCAAACAAATTTGTCTGCTATTTGCCATCAGCTGGCAACATTGGCCAACGTCTGTCGTCAAGGCTGAGTTATCAGGGAGCCGTGCAGCCATTGTTCAAGTTTCTTCAAACCGCTTGTCAAACAGTTGAATCTATGACGTTTCAATCACATCACAATTTGTTATATATAAGTAGTACTGTTATATTGCGATAACGTTGATTTCTTCGCAAACTCACAGGTAGTAACAGTTGCTCCTCGTCCGCACACTCACATACAAGCCCACTCACCAGGAGCGCGCGGGCTACACTGAACCTGAAGTGACAGAACAGCTGACTGAAGTATCTGGCCTGGAGTTGCCAGGTGTCGACATTGGAAAACGGCCAAATTAGCCAACACAAAAAGCGCAAAAATGCCCATTGTTTAATATTTAATAGAAAACTAATACCTTGAGGTGCAACAATAAACGTTCCATGTATCAGAAAAATGTTTAAATCGTTGAATAAGGCAGAAAAACAGCACATCTGGCAACCCTGCTCCGTAGTCTGGAAGGCGCAGCAGCGCTTGCATCCACCGACGCGTACCACAGAAACTCGTTTGTTGTCATGCAAATATTGAACAATGCTGAGTCAATATAACTAATGATAATACCTACATTTATATAAGAATTATCGTCATATTTTTTATTGAGAATTATCGTAATATGAAGCACGGAATAAATGTACGATGCAATGTATAATGCTTCAGTGAGTAAATTACAGCTCAAATAAAGGCGGTAGAGAGGCCAAGAAATGTGCCCGAAATACTGAACATATTTTGATGAACAGTCAAGCAGCGGTGAACAGTCAAGCAGCGGTGAACAGTCAAGCAGCGGTGAACAGTCAAGCAGCGGTGAACAGTCAAGCAGCGGTGAACAGTCGAGCAACGCGTAGGAGAGTTCGGGGTAATAGCGTTACATAAACATACAGAGAATGATGATAAGCGAGTTTGAAGCTTTAATAAGTTTAATTACGCCATTCACATGGAATGACAGTGCGAGATATAAATTCGAGTTATACATTTAAGCATAAATGATAATAGATATATTATCATACATCCATTATATTATTCAGAACCTTTGAATGATCATAGATGTATTGTAATCTTACTAGCATTTTCTATTCGTAATGCAGGATGGCAGTACAAACCGCTCATATTAACAACTATCAATTAATCATTCATCAATAACGTGTAATTCAGTCTGTCCTGAAAATAGTTTTCTATGAGCGAATAGAAAATCAAATAATTTTCTGAACGGAACAGAAAACGACGACGGGGCAAACAATATTTAGCCGGCGTCACGTTCGTTTGAATATTGTGTACTGTATAGCAAGTACACAATATTGTGTACTGTATAGCAAGTATACAATATTGTGTACTGTATAGCAAGAAAGTTGAACAATAAATTTGTTCTAAGAACTTTGAGCAATAATTTTATTTCAATAACTTTGACCCAGAACAATGTTGTAAGATCTTTAAACAATAATTTGGTTCCAAGAAATTTGAACAAGAAATTTATTCTTCATTGGTGTTGGTGATGAGGTGGTTATCGAATTAGGATTATTGAATTGTTTACAGTTACTCCCCTCCAGGATTTGGAAAATAGGGTGTACGAGTTGAAGGTTTTTGGATGGTTTACTGTTAATGGATATATGTCGAAGGCCTGCGAACAAGGTTTGAGCATTGGAACACGACATGGGTTAAATGTTCATCATATCAGTATACAATCGAGGCAGAATTAGCGTTGAAGTCAGAGTCATAATGATCTTCATAAATTTAAATTCTGCATTTGTAAATTCAACTTCACCTACTTTCAATTCAAGATAAATTTAAATTTAACTTATATTAAGTCTGACCAACTCATCTTTACATTTTATCAACAGTAATTTAGAGGATTAACTTATTTATTCATCACAATACATCCTATCAATATTAATTACTCAATACTGCCCTGCCATCATAGTATCTTCGAGATATAGGAACATTAATTTGCTGCACTGTTCAATTTCTATCCTATGAATTTACAATTATATTGTTAATCAAATAATGTACATTAACATCCAACCTAGTCCTTTTTGATCATTAACGTTTCAATCAGGAACCCAAAATTAATTCCATTTAACATTGCCTAAAGTTTCCTCATTAAGTTTATCTCATCTCGTTCGAACAATATTAATGAATATTATGACTCTTCAATATTAGTGAATCAAACTGAATCAAAGACCATAATATAGTAAATATATAAATAAACAACTAATAATTGAATAATCAATAATCAATCAATGATCACACAATCAAAAATCAAAATGGATCAAAATTTCAATAAACCATGAATCAACCCAGATTAATTAGTCTCCCAATTATGAATATGACACAACAATATCCTGAATTTAACATGAATGAATACACGGCAATAGCAGTAGTGTTAGAACAATGGTAATGAATCGTCATTCTCATTGACATTAACTTTACCTGGATAATTTTCAATCATCATTTTAACAATATTTTTCCCTAATCAAGATGTCGGGCCTAATTCTTTTACATTTGAACTAATTCTTACTATATATGTAGGCCTAATTCTTCTTCATTTGAACTAATTCTTACTATATATGTAGGCCTAATTCTCCTTCATTTGAACTAGGAGGCTAAACAAGATCGGATCATCGGAGGGCTCAACCAGACTGGCTCCTAGACTAGGATAGACGGGACACATTTCCTAATTAATCAATAACTCCATTTAAAAATACATGAATGCTAGAATAAACTACACAAAACAATTACCTACAACAAGGTTACACCATTTTAACAATTTACCACACTCACCCAGTGGAACAATTTAATGAATAAAACACATACGAAAGAGATCACGATCGAGCGCGTCTTGTGGGAGTCTAAAGAAGAGTGAGCGGAAATGTTGCCAAGGCGGCTTGGATTGAATTCTCATTTTGTTCTAGAACCACTCGTAAATTACAAAGTGAAATAACTGCTATTACCAAAGTTTAAAACTATTACAAAAATATCAGATCTTATATGAATCAAAACTGGCCATGATTAACTGGCTTACAATGATGATTATTTTTATTTTAGTTTATTTTGTTACGGCCATCAGCCACAGTTCACTAGCATCGTACATATTTAGGGTATTAACTATGCGAAAAAATACAGCTTTACACCTAATAATCTCAAAGGAATCATAATTATCTCTCAGATAGGAGATTATACACTAGGATATCATACTCAGCCAATACAATTCTAAGAGCTACCCTGAGAGTCAAGGGGAGTGATAGGAGTGAAGGGCTAATAAAAGATAAGGGTTAATAAAAGTTAATAGCCCAGAAGTTCGTTTCAAGTTAGGACAAACACTTCTGCGATCGTTCATGGATGTATCGCCGGGACTGAACACTCAATGTGAATTTCTTCGTCATCTATGAAGTTTCAACTTGACGCGGCAAGCATTCAAATTTCCATCTATAGTTGATATGCTAAAATGATTAATTGAACGGCTTCATATTTCTGTATCGTCATGCTGAGACATAACATTGCTCCTTCTCATCATGATTGCCTTTAAAAATCGTTATATCAGGCTTATCGACTAACTAAGCTAACCTAACCCTCTACCGCCTGACACGAGTAACCGGAGCAATATGTCACAAGCCTACTTCCCAAAAATGATAGGTTCTAGTGAGCGCAAAATGACTTGCACTGATGGTTACCGCCACGTACGACAACTTTAAATGTTCTCTGCTGCGTACAAACGTCCTCAGGTTGCTACACTCAATACTTTACGTATAATTTAGGTTGAAAGTTATGTTCCCGGAGACTGACATATACGGCGGTAGAGGGTTACGAGTAACACATTGTGATCGATGGCCAAGCACAGCGAAATTTCGAGTAGAGAATTTTGCAGCTGATAAAACCCACAGCGTTCAGTGAACCAATCGTCAAGACGACGTCTCCATTAAGAACTGATGCAATATCAGAACTGATCCATCACCAGAACTGTTCCATCACCACCAGAACTGTTCCATCACCAGAACTGTTCCAACACCAGAACTGTTCCATCACCAGAACTGTTATCACTAGAACTGTTCCATCACCAGAACTGTTCCATCACCAGAACTGTTCCGTCACCAGAACTGTTCCATCACCAGAACTGTTCCATCACCAGAACTAGTCTCTCGTCAGAGCCCAAGAGTACCTGAAAATAAGTGTAAAATTAAGACAGTACAAATCCAGGATAAAAATTCATGATGAAAATCAAAGTCTAAACAATTATTTTCAATTAACCGCTTCAATATTGTTGACAATTACTTTACCTCTGCAGGCTCGTCTCGCCTGAAAAACTGGCAATGAAATAATTATTAAAAACCCAGAAAATTATCGAAACAACAAAGCACTAATGAATTATTATGCAAATATCGCCACGACAAAGGGCCAAATAAAATTAGCTTCTTCACCTTCAAGCCGGCTACAACAACAAATAAAATTAGAACAGCGAACACCGTCTAGCCCACGGCATGTGCAGCGAACACTTGTGGCTGAACACTCAACTTGTGGCGCAAGTTGAACACATCGGATCTTAGCCTTTTCTTTTCTAAAAATATTTGAAACTTTTTAAATTCCTAATGCAATCTTATTTTGAACCCCATCGAATTTCAAAATTTGGGCTCTAATAAACTAGTACAAAATTTCAGCCAAAAACTCTTTCCAAATTTCAGCTCATAATTCGTCTCAAATTCGGCCCGATATTTGTTAAAAATGTCTGCACAAATTTTGGCCCAATATTCTCGATGCTGTGAAGGGAAATGGGAAATTAAATCAAGGGGAAATCAACGAATGGGTAAGAGATGATAGAAATTTACTCGTCTTCAATAAAGCTCAGCGTAAAGCAGCCTCGCCCAATGCCAGTTCTTCATCCTCAGTTGCTTCTGGACCTTCTACAAAGGCTGTGGTGTCTTTTGGTGATGTGGTGCTGCGTTATACTGCTGTTCTGTGATGTGGTAGTGTGGTGTGCTGTGAGGTGGTGCTGGGGTGCAGTGAGATATATTACGCTACGTTGGGCTGTGGTGTGCTGTTGTGGTCTGGGGCCATACTTTAAAAAATCGCTAAGTGAACGTAAGTACTTACGCTCTATTTTCTTGTCCATGATTGGTGGATTTTGCTTAAAAAGCCGTCAATGATTGGTTCATGAACATACGATCTCTCAACTCATTTTGAAAGTATAGGCCCTGGTGTGTTGTGTTGCTGTGCTGTGCTGCGTTGCTCGGGTTGCAGGA